AAATCAGACACAAAACATAAAATCAGAGTAGAAAAAGTGATATTTTTACTGTAACAACCACACATTTCAAACTATTTATAGAAGCGGGAGCGTGCAGCTGCTTAAAGCTGTAGCGCCCGGATTACTTACAGCTACTTCCTGCACCTGAAGGTGCGGTGAGCTGAACACAGCTTCAACCGTCTGTTTGCTGAAAAATAGTAACGCGACTGCACCTCATTTTCTTGTTAGTAACAGTAACGGCGTTGTAACGATAGAAACAGTAATTAGTTAGATTACTCGTTACTGAAAACAGTAACGCCGTTAGTAACGCGTTATTCCCATCCCTGCTAACAGGTACTGAAATCAGCTCTACTTTTAGTACTTTAGTGATACTTAATGTAACAACGAAAGAGCAAATGAAGGCGTTTCTACTTGAATACCATCGACTAATAGAAAAAGCACGAGTCCACAGTTCAGCATCTACTGAAGGTCGAGCTACATTAGCTACATGAACAGCTGTAAATAGACTGAAAGTCAGATAAAGACGAGGAGCAGCAGAAAAAAACATTCATTATCTGGTTCTTGTCTTGTTGTCTTCATATGTAATCAGATTACCTGATGGAGAACTATAATCCAAATCTATATTCTTGAGAACAACACAGGCTTTAGACTTTAATGTGGATATTAGATTATATCATATTTCACATTCAGTTTTTTAATCTGTGTCTATATATTTGAAAAACTGGGAATTATATATCTGGATATTTAACACTGTGACATTGTGATATTAATAAAGAAACACAATGAACAGGATCCTGCGGTCAGTCTCTGCTCTTTGGAGGTTCAGAGGTGAAATATGGACAACAGCAGTGGCACTATGTGCTGTACTAGTTACTGCAGAGATAAATGTGACCTTTTGTATGGTAGGGTAACAGACGATGCCCGGGAAAACGAGATGGATGAGAACCTGGAGCAGGTGGGTGGCATCATTGGCAACCTGCGCCACATGGCTCTGGACATGGGCAACGAGATCGACACCCAGAATCGCCAGATCGACAGGATCATGGAGAAGGTACACGCACAGCTTTTTAGCTTTTTCTTCAAGCGCACCGGGTTCATGTAATCACCGAGTTGAGTCATCTTGCTTATTTAGTGAGTTGCCTCCTTGCAAATATAACATATAACCAGTGTGGACACGAAGGAAAAGCTTGGAAAGCTTGGTTTGTATACGACACCAGCTCCGGTTCACAAAGCTCAGCCAGGTTGGGTCTTTTATAGGCTGCAAGGTTTTCTCCATGGATATTCCAACATTCACGTACATCCCTGTTTCCTGGTTTGGTTTAACTGAAACAGTAAGAACATCGAGTGGCCACGTTGTGAGGATGTGCAAGAGTGCTGTGAACATGCCCGTAAATTTGCAGTTGATGAAATGCTGGTGATTGGTTAGAAAGTTTTAAAATAATGTCCAACCTTAAGACTTAAATAACTTAATGCCTTTGACGCAGAACTGTGCAACTCTTAATTCTAAGACATAAAGGAATGACAGTCATTAAAATCAGGTCAGAGATAAAATGTAGAAACAGCAAAGAAAAGTTGTCTTACCTTTTATTTTCTTAAGCATTTCTATATTTAATGGTCTCTTTGTATAATAGAGTCTTTTTAAAAAGCTCCATCTCTAAATTCAAAGCTCTACCACACCAAAAGTACAATGAAATCTATCTAACCGGGTACTAAAGATAAAACACCAAAATACAGATCTGTGGAATCAATCAACAAAGCCCTCTCATTACCTTTTCCTCTCTCACAGGCCGACTCCAACAAGACCAGGATCGATGAGGCCAACCAGCGCGCCACAAAGATGCTGGGCAGTGGCTAAACGCCCGGAGTCCGGAGCGTGAACGTCCCGGCGTCCCGCGCCACGCATCGATAGGCGCTGACATGCTTTCATCATGGTATTGACCTTCTAGGTTTGCACACATGCACATATCACCTCCCCGCCCATTGTAAATGTTGTTCTGTGTCGTCTGTCGAGCTTTTTCAAAATGATTGTCCTCGTAAAAAGATGATTTCTTATACTCCGTATATCATTCTTTCCAAAGGTTGTATATAGTGCTGACTTGATGGATCTCTAGCTCACCTGTGAAGTTTTTATTCTCTATGTCAAATATATATATATATATATATATCTCACATATCATATATATATATACATATATATATATACACACGAGTACACTTCTCTGGATGACAAGTATATAATAGGAATGCTGTACAAGCTGTTTGTTTTTTCTTCCTTTTCGGTATCTCAGTATCGTCTTAGTAAAACTGTGTCATTACATATAGGCTACTGTCATGCTCCTTATTTTGGTGTTGTCACAAAAACAGCAGGAGAAGATCGATGGCAAACACGAGTCACTAAGCGGCGGTACAGTTGGGCGGGACGGCAAAGAGCACTTACAATCAAAAGGCAGTCCTTGGTCCATTTTCCTTCATCGCAATCATACTGAGTTACTGTTTAGACAATGTGCAACTAGACTCTCTGTAGCTGTATTAGACATTGCATTCCAAGTGATGTGAATTGTGCGTTCTCTGCATGACAAATGGTAGATTTTAGTCTTATAAATAAAACCTGTCTGAAAAAATATATATAAAAAATGATAACATGGCAGTAGCAAATTGACAAAACGCATGCTCGGTATTAGGACACAGTTTATCGTTCCATACTCCTGCAAGTTTGCAATAGTGCCACTCTTTCTGTCTCGATATATTTACCGACTGTGACCATCTCGTTGTACAATAATGCAAAAGGGATCAAAAAAGTGAGATGAAGTTGAAACAACTGAGGACTTTGGGTTGTATTGCAAAAAAATGACCTGTTTTCTAAATGATTATGCAGTTCAGTGATGAAGATGTTGATTATATGATGAAAGCTGAGGACTGGTTGTGTACTGTATCATAGGTTTTGGATGCTCTGAAAAAAATAAACGTTTGCAATGTAAAGCAAAGACGCATATTTCTGAGAGACCTTACTTTTATAAGAAAACCGTATATGTAAGTTTATTCTCCCCGTGTGGTTTGTTATTGGTAAGAATAATGACAATATTAAATAACAATTACAACTATACTCTGAAACAAAAAAATACATACAAATGGGTTTTTTTGTTGCTTCTGTACTTTAGAGCTATGCACACCAAATCGCCAAAATGTCAAGTAGTTAGAGTAAGGTGATGAATTACCTAAACCTGAATGACACAATAGGTTAAACTGTGAGATTGATGTCCTCAACGCATGTAATACTAAAGACTCCCTCTCTGTATCCTGTCAGTGTGTGAAGTGGTGGACATTTTGTAGCTAGCTGAATTGATTAAAAGTAATAAACCCTAGTTGCATCCGTGTCTGTCTTTATTGCTTAGAGACTCCAATCTCAATCTCTAACGTCCAGGGTGGCATTTACCCAAACTACCGCTCACTTTTTAGATTACACCTTATGTGGCAGACAGTCCACCCGATGGCCCTGTTTTCTCTAAACAAGAAGCCAGCAGTCCAGGGATACACTGACAGTCAACAAGATAAAGCATTTGATATTCATCTTTGTGGTGTTTAGCTTTGGCGCAAGTTTAATATATGAGAGGAACCAGACTGAAAGGCAAGAAGTGATTCCTAAAGAGCCAAAACATTCAGAAATGTCAGCTGAGGAAAACACGGTAAATACAGAAGTTTCAGTCGAATAACCACAACTGCTAAAACGTTTCTCCCTTTTTAACGACCTAAATTTAACTTTAAAAGGTTTTATTGTTTCATAACACAAAAAAATTATAAATCCCTTCTGCTATCCTTTTTTCCTTTCACAAACTTCTCCTCGGGAAAAACACAATTGTCACATTAAAAAAGAAAGATTCACACTTTTTTCACATCAACTGTTTCAGTGTTTGTCATTTTCTGATATGTTGCCAAAATTTCCATATAAGCAAGTTACATGCTAAATATTAGCTAAACTTCCATGTGCAGCGTTAGCTTACCTCAGTGCAAAAACAACAAGCTTAGCTGTGTTTTTTGTTGAATCTACAGAAAAAAGAAAGAATACCAATCACAAAATTGTTTTGTATGGGATCAAGTACTGTTTTACAGTTGCTATGATGGGCTAGCTAGCTACTAGCTGTAGCTTTATGTTTAGTGAACAGACCAAGCAGAAAACTCTGGGGGCTAAAAATGAAAGTGGCACAAACTGCAGGTCTTCCACCCAAGTCCAAACTGTTCCCCACTGTCCCCATTTCAAAATGCCAATCTTTACCTCAGAAATTAACATATTTAAGCCAAGTGTTTCTACCTTGATTCAAAAATATAAGGAGGGATTTTTTTTGCTAACTCACTCATTTAAGTCTTATTATAGCTCAAACGGAGCATTTCTCAAATATGGGTACAAAAACATTTATGACAGCGATATCCTGAGGTCCCTATTGCCAGTCTTGGCAGCCGGGGGTCAGTCCGCCAGGGCCTCCGCTCCTGGCCGCCACCCGGCACACAATGCACCCGACCCCTATGGCGCCTCCTGCGGGTGGTGGGCCTGCAGGAGGATGGGCCCATGTCTCCTCTTCGGGCTGTGCCCGGCCGGACCCCATGGACTAAGGCCCGGCCACCAGACGCTCGCCCTCGGGCACCCTACCCTCACCTATGGCCACGAGCTGTGGGTAGTGACCGAAAGAACGAGATCGCGGATACAAGCGGCGAAATGAGCTTCCTCCGAAGGGTGGCTGAGCCTCTCCCTTAGAGATAGGGTGAGAAGTTCGGCCATCCGGGAGGGGCTCAGAGTAGAGCAGCTGCTGCTCCACATCGAAAGGAGCCAGCTGAGGTGGTTCGGGCATCTGACAAGGATGCCCCCTGGGCGCCTCCTGGGTGAGGTGTTCCAGGCATGTCCCACCGGGAGGAGGCCCCGGGGCAGACCCAGGACACGCTGGAGAGATTATATCTCTCGGCTGGCCTGGGAACGCCTTGGTGTTCCCCCGGACAAGCTGGAGGAGGTGGCTGGGGAGAGGGAGGTCTGGGCCTCTTTGCTTAGGCTGCTGCCCCCGCGACCCGGCCCCGGACAAAGCGGATGAAGATGGATGGATGGATATCCTGAGGTTTCAAAGTGGCAGCCAGTCAAGGATGATAAGCAATCCTCAGCCATGCTTTATACAGCCTAAAGTGTATGTTTATAAAAAAAATTCTTCTCAGAAAAGCATTTCTTTTCTTTTCTTTATTAATTTTTCCAATATTACAAATACATTGTCAAGTTTGCTGTTAGCCAAGTTTAGATTACCCATGTTGGTTTACTGGTGATGGTTTTAATGGGATTAGCTAACTTCTCAGTAAATGCTAACTGAATGCTAGGGGAACGTAACTGGTCAAATTATGTGCATCAAGCTTCTCATTTGAGCCAGATGTGCTATATGGATGAAAGAGTTAATGAATTAAACTGTGGTACTGTAGTAGGACATATATTTGTCCATATAGTGTACCAGAAGAATGTCATGATTTGGACTAAATGTGGCCTGATGGTGGTGTCGTGGAAAGTTTGTAATGTACATCAATGACTGCAACGTCAGAAGACGCTTTCTCTTTGGGACACACATAAATGTGAGCACCTGATTCCTAATGAAGACAAATCGTGGAGGGAAGAACAGAAAGACTCAACGACTGAAGAAAAAAAAGGTAAACCTGAGCTTCTCTGAAAACAAGAGAAAAATGTTTAAATTATTACAATAATGATGCATTTCAGCAGAAAAAAACTAAACCTTTGTAATGAACCAAATCCATAATTACTTACTAAAATAAATAGATGAGAACTGGACTAATCTTCCTCGAGTGAAGTTATCATCAAGTTTCTTTAGTGAGTTGTACTTTCAGCCATTTGATTGTTGGTCTGACCAACATAACATTTTGTTGTATTTCAGTTTCACACTTTGTCTGTAGTGTGATTCTAATGCGTACATGTTCCATAAAGTCATTTTTATAGAACATATATTACATATACATATATATATGACAATGTCAATAAACTCTCCATTTTCAAAACTATTTCTTTCTGGGAATTGTTTCAAGGTTCAGGCTTTACAGGGATGATTTATGGTATGAACAGCAAATTCAAACTATTTTAACTGTGTCAATGAGAAGAAAAACACAGCAGCCAGATGAAGAAAAGAGAAAAGATTACTTTTAGATATGCATTTTCTGACTGTCCAAAATAAAAGTGAAAATAAAGGTGGTTGCAAATGGAGAATTTGAGGACTTTTTAGTTGTAGACGTTTCGAATGTGTAGTTAAACAAGTCCCACCCAGTAAAGTAACTGTGTTGATCCGTCCACAGCCCTGACATAACACAGCATGTTGAAAGAGTAGGTTTGTCTGTGCAGTCCTCCCTTCTCAGGTTTATTCAGGCCCAGCGATGTGGGCCCCAGCCCATAATCCTCCTGCAGACACACCTGTAGAGGAGAGTATAAAGACCTGCGACTCAACTGTGTCAGACACGAAGCTCCGAGGAGTCTCTCCACAGCAGCTCTGCAAAGAAGCTCCACAGCTACCAGACCCACTCTGAAGATGAGTCCCTCTGTCAGCCTGCTGCTGCTGCTCGGCCTCTCTCAGGCTCATCCTCTCATGGAGGAAAGAGGAGGAGGAGAGGGCCAGGTGGAGGAAGACCACACCGTCGATATCACCACCAGGATTCTGACCGCAAACAATGGCAGCAACGAGATCCTGCTGGAAGGAGACATCCTGCTTCCAAAAAGCAGAAATGCCATTAAATGCCAGAGTTACCAGAGATGCCTGTGGCAGAAAGACAACAACGGCCTGGTGACGGTTCCCTTCGCCATCAGCAGTGAGTACAGCAGCGGGGAAAGGCAGCTGATCAGAAATGCCTTGCAGTCCTTCCACAGCCAGACCTGTGTCCGCTTTGTCGACCGTAAGGACCAGAACGACTACATCAGCATCGAGAGCCAGAACGGATGCTTCTCTTTTGTGGGCAGACAGGGAGGGAAGCAGGTCCTGTCTCTCAACAGGCAGGGCTGCGTCTACTTTGGCGTCGTCCAGCACGAGGTCAACCACGCTCTGGGCTTCCAGCACGAGCAGACCAGGAGCGACCGCGACTACTACGTCAGGATCAACTGGGAGAACATCGACCCACAGATGGCCTACAACTTCGACAAGCAGGACACCAACAACCTCAACACTCCCTACGATTACTCCTCCATAATGCACTATGAAAGAACAGCCTTCTCCATCAATGGCAGGGAAACCATCACCCCCATCCCCAACCCCAACGTCCAGATTGGCCAGAGGCAGGGCATGTCCTACTGGGACATCAGGAGGATCAACCTGCTGTACGGCTGCTGAAAACACACGTTAGCTTGTCTGATTAGAAGTTTTCATTTGTTCCCAAAGGTTCTTTCATCAATGCTTTTTCAGTGTGTTAATATTCTCTTTAAAAAAGTCAAACACAAAAATAAAGTGCATTAAAATGGTGTTTTGAACATGTGTGGCTTCATCTGGTTTGCAACATTTATGTTCCTTTGGTCTGGATCAGATGCTCCTGATGGTTTTACACGGTGTTTGTTCAAACTTTCATTGATTTCAACGAGCACCGTGACAGAGCCTCCACCATGTTTCACAGATGGCTGTAGCACTCACTGCTGTACCTCAGTCCTGACTTCCTCCATATATACTGATGATTTGAAGCAAAATCTAATTCTAATTCAGGTGTAAGAATTTGTTCCTGTTTCTTAGGGAAATTAACTCTAATATCCAGTTTTCCCATATTATTATTATTTTTCTAAGGAAATTGATGTAGTTTTACTTGAATAATTCATAGATTATTTCTAAGTGGCTTAACAAATAAAAAACGATTCCTTCAGACCCCTGAAGGTGTTTAGTGAAAGATTGTCTTGTCCTGTAAGTTGCAAGGTGGGGCCTCCGTGGATCGGACTTGTTTTTCCAGCACTGGAGAATTTGGAAGACAACTCAACACCTCAAGCTCATTGTTGTGCTCCTCAAACCCTTCCTGAACCCTTTTTGCTTTGCTGAAAGAGGCCACATCCATAAGGCAATATTGTTTCCATGAAAGGGTGTACATGGTCTGCAATGCTTAGGAAGGTGGTACGTGTCATAGTAACATCCACATCAGTGTCAGGACCCCAGGCTTCCCAGCAGAACATTGACCAAAGCATCACACTGCCTGATTTGGAGATCCTCTGACCCGGTCATCTAGCTATCACAATTCAGCTCTTGTCAAACTCCCTCAAATCCTGAAGCTTGCCAATTATTCCAAGGTTCAAGGTTCAAGGTTCTTGATTTGTCACATGCATAGTTATACAAGTATAACACACAGTGAAATGTAACCTGACACGCTCCTCGACATGTGCAAAAATGGGGGGGTAGAGGAAGAACATTATATATATAGTATATACGTGTTCCTGCTTCTAACTTGTCAACTTTGAGGACAAAATGTTCACTTCCCCCCTGATATATCCCACCAACTAACAGGCATCATGTCACCAACTGTCAGCAGTCATGATGTTAAGCCTGATCAGTGTAGGGTCAATCTGTAGGCTTCTAAAAGAAGACGGGACTTAAAGCCTCGGTTTTTTCACAAGTGCTTTGCATTTGTGAACTGAAATGTAGCTAATTATATCCTTTCCCTTCACATGAATAAATGAGGGGAAAACACCAAGAAATGAAGGATGAAAAATGGTGTTTATTACGATACTTTGAAAGAGATTATCAAAATAAATTCCTTTCGTTTTAGATCAAAGTACACAGCTTTTTACAGAGGAGGGCCAGGCCTGAGAGTACTCCGAAGCATTAGTGCTGCAGCGTTGCTCCAGAGGAGGATCGCTCTCCCTCTCTGTGGCTCAGGTTCATCCATTATTGAGCAGGATAAAAACATCCTTGACAAAGACCAGAGGATGTTACGGGAACACGGCGGACTGTTTGGGTTTTGGAGCCACTGTAACAACACATTCTGCCTCATCATATAAACTTGCTCTCGATTCATTCGTTTTCTGATTCATGATGATAAATGTAACGTTAAAAAAATGCATTGTATGCAGCAGTCAGTCAGTAGATTTTTGGCTATCGAGAGAAGGATACTGTACTTATGAATAAACAATAAACAAATAAAATAGTGTGTAAATACATATTCCAACAAACTAATGCATTCTCATAAACTTATTATTGATTAACAGGAGCAGGTTTGTGGAAGCTGCCATGTGCCCCCACTATATTTTAATATAGTGCCCAGGAGGGAGACCTCCCTTCCCACTCCTGGCATCTAATGTATGTGGCTAGACACCAGTGGAGGAGAAGAGAACCTGTAGGTATGTATGTGCTCCAGAGGGCCATAAAATTCATACCTGCACCTCCCGACTTAAGATGTGAAGGATTGTACCTATGTTTTATCAAGGGCTCCCCCTCATGAAAGAAATGAATGTGTGAAGAACAGAGACAACACCACTGACAATAAAATGTCATCCTCATCTCATAAACATGCTCATTTATTACCAGTATTGCCACAACCTGCAATACTGCTTGACTAATCTACGATAACTGTCAGTAGATTAGACACACTCCATCCATCGCTAGACAGCTGACAACAAGCTGGCTAAACAACAGCAACAGCTGATTATAGGCTAATGTTAGTTAGGTGCAAGTGTCCTAAAAATCTCGCTTTACCTCTGATAGACAGTTTGATTACACATTATATGAGTTTATTCACTAAACAGTCCAACAAAGTTGCATCGATTTCAAAGGCAGTTTCACTAACAGAGGCTAACAGAGGCTAACAGAGGCTAACAGAGGCTAATAGCGGCTAATAGCGACTAACAGCGGCAAACAGCGGCTAACAGCAGCACTTACCAACATCATCTCAGTACAGACGTCACTGTACACAGGAGTGAACATCTCTGACTCCCTGACCTGTATCGGAGCCCTTTCCCAACTTTTACAGCCTCTTCCAAGGTAAATCAAGGTGGACGCTTCTCACTCATTATTAGCATTTGAGTTAAAAATGGACCTACCTTCGACTGGATCCGCCCCAGGAGAAAAACTCAGGATCAGATCCAGTCCAAACAGTAGTAGAAATACACCCGTTGTAGTGGTTTTCATGGCTCTCTCTTGACAAACTAAAGCATCTTTGTCCTACAGCAGCTGCTGTCTTCCAGCTGTTCCCTACTCTCACAAGAACTACAGTCAGGAAAACTGTTTCACAAAATTATTATCAGTTGGTTTTGAGTCGAGGTGTTAATTTTTGAGTTCAGGCACTTCAACCTGTACATTTCAACCTGTACACTGACAAAGTGTCCTAAGCAAGTACTGCAATCTGCACCTATGAACGGCATCCTCTTCATGTATAGATAAGAACACATTGTTGTCTATGAATGTTTTCTGTCCTGAAGTTGAGTTTTGGTCATTAAAACTTGTGTCTGCACTGAGACTTGTGCACATACTGTATCTGGCTGCAGGCAATCCCCCGAGCACAAGCAGCATGCCTCGTTTTCCACACGTCCACTCCTTCACAGCCTTATTTGTCACACTACCCCTACCTCGCTCGCTCTCCAGTCTACTCAACTCCACCCCATCCGTGCCCTAAGACACCCCCTCCCCCACCCCCTTTATTTTAATATATTCTCCACTAGCCTCTCTTTGATCACTACTCTTATCCTGCTGCCGAGCTGTGTGAAGACAGCTGCCCCATCTCTCTGCCAGTCACTGACACAGTCTAGGATTTGGTTTTGTCAGAGTCAGCAACTACACCCTGCAGGAATAACAGTGTCCTGTAACACACACACACGCTCACACACACACCGCTCACACACACACGCTCACACACACACACGTCTCACACACACACACGCTCTCACACACACACTCACACACACACACGCCACACACACACACTCTCACACACACACACTCTACTCACACACACACTCCACACACACACACGCCTCATCACACACAGCACCACACACACACACACACACTCTCACACACACACACCACACACAATTTCTCACACACAGACACGCTTCGTACACACACACACGCTCTCACACACACCGCTCACACACACACACACACTCACACACACACACGCCACACACACACACTCACACACGACACCACACAGACACGCATCACACACGACACGCTCACACACACACACGCTCACACACACACACACGCTACCAACACCACACACACACAGCTCACACACAGCCACACGCTCACACACACACACGCTCACACACACACACACCACGACACACACTGCACACGCAGCACACACCACTGACACACACGACACGCTCAGCACCACACAGTGCACACGACACGCACCACCAGCTGCACACACGACACGCGCACACACACACGCTGCACACACGGACACAGCGCTCACCAGCTACACACACCACACACAGCACACGCTCACACACAGCTCACACACACACACTCACACACACACACTCACACACAACACGCTCACACACACACACGATCTCAACACACACACACTCACACACACACATGCTCACACACACACATGCACACACACACACACGACCACAACCACACGCTCACACACACACAGCTCACACACACACACTGCCACACAACTCACACACACACATGCTCACACACAGACACGCTCACACACACACATGCTCACACACACACACGCCACACCACCTGCTCACACACACACGCTCACACACACAGTCACACACACACATCTCACTCACACAACACGCTCACACTACACACATTACACACACACACTCACACACACACATGCTCCCACACACACAGTCTCACACACACCACGCTCACACACACTCACCAACACATGACTCACACACACACGATGCTCACACACAGACATGGCATCCTATCCGTCGTTAAGTCTGACGTCACTAGCCGTGTCTGGGCCTAAACTCCGCTGCAGGTCCATATATCAAACGATCACTATGGCATTACTGAGAGTTGAAAAACTGTCTAAAGTCTTTCATCTTTAATAAAATGATCAGCGTTCTGCTCTACCAGGTGTAACAATTGAGTTTAACATCCAGGCATCCATGAAAACGGAATTTATGACATTTAACGGAGTTAGAAGTTAGCAGGAAGTTAGCTCGCTAGCTTCTATCTAAATACAATATAGCATGTCCTGACTGCGGGGTTTTGGAAACAAATTCAAACGTACAGCTCTGTTATCACTTCCAGCATAAATGAAGACAGAAAACTAAACAGCAGTGACGTTTGTAGGGTTACTGAAGTTGGGCTAGCTGGTATATAATGATGTGCTACGTGACCGCTAGCGACACAGCTATGTTAGCATAATATAAACAAGCTAACTTTTTTTCCACTCGATAAAAGTTAACGTGAGTGTTCTCGGTGGTCAGGAACAAATGTAATCGCATGGCAGGATGCTGTAAAAGGACCAAACTTCAGCCAGGAGAACAACTGAGAT